TCTTATCTGGTCGCATTCGGAAGAAGAGCTTCTCGAGTTCATTAGAGCTTTTAATTATGCGCACCCCTCCATTTCTTTTACACATAGTTACTCAAAATCTGAAATTACCTTTCTAGACACAAGAGTGCTAATTAATGACTCTAAATTGGCCACTCAACTGTACCGAAAACCTACGGATCGTCAGAAATACTTGCACTACGACAGCTGCCACCCACGGCACTGCAAAAATAGCATACCTTATAGTCAGGCTCATAGGTTTAAACGTATATGTTCAAACAACGACGATTTTAAAACAAGCACCGATCAATTACGCCAAGTCCTGAAAGAACAGAAGTACCCGGAAAAAATCATAGACGATGCGATCAATAAGGCACAGGTCCTTGATCGTGGCCTCTTGTTGAGTGAGCGGAGCCCTCAGACTGAGGAGCGTCGGGCGAACCTCGTACTCACTTTCAACAATAAGACTCCGAATGTCGCACCCATATTAAGAAAACATTTTAACATTTTACAACAAAGTGAACGCCTCGCAAGGATTATCCCCTCCGTTCCCCAAGTGATCTACAGACGCTCACGCAATCTTAGGGACGCCAATGTTAGGTCTAAGACAACCTACACTGAAAGCACTGGCAGTCGCCCTTGTGGAAGAGCAAATTGCGACGTCTGTCAACACGTGACACCTAAAACCACGGTAGAGAGTACGAATTCCAATTTCACCTACATAATCCACGGAAACTTAAACTGCAGCACAAGTAATGTAATATACCTCCTCACATGTGGCACCTGCGGAAAGCAGTACGTGGGCCAAACCAGCACACCTTTCCGATTGAGGTTTAACAACCACAGGGCGCATGTAAATTCATTTCCCAAACTCCCCCTTTCAAAACATATGGCTTTACCCAAACACACGTTTGACAAACTGGACGTTACATTTTTACAATCCAATTTCAAAAGCAACCGTGATCGCGAGCAGAGAGAATCGTATCTTATTTACAAATTTAATTCAATCCGGGCCGGTATTAATGAAGATCCAGGTATAATGTCATCTATGCATGCAATCTACCTTGATCCCTCTGTAGCGGAGTGACTGTAGCTAATTCAATCCCATTCGTTCAACCCTTTAATTTTTCCGTGTACCTTTCTGTATAACCTGTCGATGAGTCAACGGGTCATGACCTTCAACAGGCATCTTCCACCTGTTGCTCCTTGTTGAATGTTCTGGGACTGTGGTTAACACTGTTATATTTACGCTTTTTTTTTGCAGTAGATTTGTTTATGCTCTTCGGCCGAGCGTTTGCCTAATTTAATGCGTACGCTTTTTTATTTTCTTTTTTTTTTTTTGCAGGGGTTTTGTCTATGCGCGTTGGCATTGATTTACTCTGTGTGCTTATTTCACCTTTTCTTTCTCTATGTAGGGGTTTTTTCTATGCGTTTGGCGTTATTTACTGTGTGCGCTTATTACATTCCTCCCCCCCCCCCCTTTTTTTTTTTTTGCTTTGGTTGATTTTGCGTCTTTCCGCGGCGTGCGTTGCTGGCCATCTGGGCCGATCCAACTATGTGAACGTTACTGCGCCTTCCGCACGTGACGTTCCTGGGGTCACGAAGTCTGACGTGGCCCTTGGTTTGCTCTGATGGCTGGCGGCGTCTGCTGCGGTCGTGCGTGGAGTGGGGGGAGTACAGCAGCGTTTTTTCACTTGGGCTCTTTTACTTGGGCATTTTTACACGTGATCTGACAGGTGACGTGGCCCGGGTGGGGAAACCGAAAACATCCCTGCAACCGACTCTGGCAACCAGTCTTGAAGAAGGCCTGTCTCAGGCCGAAACGTCGACTCACTAAATGCTTTAAAACTCCAACAACGTTTCGAAGTGCGACTTTATAACTTTATAGTCTTCGGCATCCTACGCTATATTTTCTTTATATATATATATATATATTTGTATTGAGCTTGATTGAAGGCTCGCTGACGCCCGCTGCCTCGTTTTCTTCTATGGCCATGGTCTCGAGCATATATCGTGCATACTGGTATTTGTGTTGTGCGATGATGGTGACGCTGATGGACTCTGCACTGCATTCACAGTAGCGGCAATGGGTTGGTAGATGACCTTTTAGAGATGCTGCGGGTTCTCTTGTCCTGTCATTAATACATCAGCCAGTTTGGCCAATGCAACACTTTCCACACGATAGGAAAATATAATATACAATCCCCTTCGCACATTGGCCATATCGTCTCCTGTGAGAGATGTTGCAGGTTTTACGTAATTCTTGTCTTGATTTACCTTACGCAAGATTGAATATGCTTTGTTTGGTGCAAAGTACAGAACCTTGATGTCCTGTGGCGCAGCTAGCTTTTTTAATTTGAGTGTTACTGCATGGATGTAGGTACTATAGCGATCTTTTGTTTAGCTTTTGTTTTCTGCGTTCCACCTGTGCCCGATGCTTTGCACTTTAGTTTTGTGTAGATGTATTCACACACGCTGTTTAAGAGACCATTCGGATATCCGGAGAGAAAGGGAGCAAAGGGAATAAAGGACAAACACAAATCTCAAAAAAACAGCTGGGTGACTGGTGCGTGTCCTAAAAAACAATGCGCCTGGTCCTGGAACCGAAAAAGGGACCTCTTCATTTTCAGTGGAGGGCTCTACCAACTCAGCTAACCAGAAGTTAGACGTGAGTGGAGCAAACGGGTTTTATCAGCTGCCACCAGTCTAACATCAACAAGGGTGAACGGATGGCATTTTTAAGGTTATGATTGATATGACAATTAAATGCCAAGGTTCGATACCACTACAAGGCGGATATTTTCGGTCGCGCACAAGTCACCCAGCTATGTTTGGATATTTGCGTTTGTCCTTTGTCCTTTTTGTTCCTCTTCTCTAGGGATTATTTTTGTCATTCTTGTTCAGCTCGTTTGCACCTTTTTATTTAACTTCATTATCAAGGATCTTCCCGTCCCACCGACACCGACGCACATGTCGGTTTTTCTGCGACATGAGCTCCTTAATGCTTTCGCTTTAAAAAAAGAAATGCTGGAGTAGGTCTTTTTTTTAGGTTTCTTTTTTCTACTGATTTTATTAACCTTCAAATCGGCCTAAAAGTGACGCTATTGTCGCGCTATCATCATTATCAAAGCGGGTATAGACGCATGGCCGCCCCATAGGCTCTCCACGTTCGGCCGCGAGACGGTGTAGATTCTTGCGTTTATTTTTTCGGCTAATATCGGTGGGAAGGCAATTTTAACGGAAAATGGTGCGGTACTGTTCGGTGCTTCAGTGAAGATCGAATCGTGTTGTCAGCGTATGGCCTGGATTTAAGTAATCACTCGTGTGGATGCGTCATCAACTCTAGGCCGGCGTTAGGAAGCATGGATCACCACGACGAATGCTTGTCTCCGGCTGAACTGCAATATTTATATTAAATATTTGCCTCTTTTAAAAGAGATGCATCTTTTCATGATCGTAGGAATTTAACAAAACAATGAATTCTAACCCGGATAATATAATACGCGTACTGTGGGCTATGATATTGCAGTCTATATATTTTTTATTATTTTTATTTTACCTTTTACAGTTATATAAATATTTAGCATGAAGAAATGCTATGGCTGCATTAGAAATTACCGTGCTATAGAGTCCAGCGGCATCCAAGCTTTCTTTTTAATTTGCCACGCTGTGGTAATTTTTTGGGGGTCAGAAAAAATCAATTACGTTGCGATGAGGACAGTGTGCCTCCACTAGTTACAATCTGGAAAAGGTTCGTTGGCAGGAAAACTCAAACAAGTGAGACAAACCCTTCTGATATATCTGCCGCGAGTGGAACAAGCGGGTGTAACCGAGCAACGCAGTGGCATGCATGTCATTAGATGCTTTTCCCGTCAATGGGAGTTCACACGCTTCAATTTACTCGGTAAAGGCCGCAGATGCCAAGAGGCTAATATTATATATATATCTGGCTAAATTATCTTCTACTCAAACACATTAGAGTGTGCAACTTCAACAAACGAGCCGCACCACGACACAGCATCTGCCGCAGCGACACTCTCTTACTAATGAGGGCTAGCGACTCTCGCGATACTTTCCGATCTCACTCCGCCCTCAGCTGACGCATATCGGGAGTGGGCAGTTCATTAATTCAATTTCAATTATTCAAGTGATGCTTTAATTTCGATGTTTTTTTCGTCAGTAAAAAATGCTTGCTTGAATACTTCTGACGTGTTTATTTCTTTTGGGACGGATGTAAACCACTACAGCATGCTTGTGATTGTCATCGGGAGTGATTATACTCTATAAATAATAACTTAAAAATGACTTCTCTTTAAAGGGCTTTCCTTGTTGATGTTCCTGCAGGCGTTCCAAAATGAAGTTTAAAATGGGAATGCAATATGTCATTTACGGCATAGTAAAAATAGTAAAAAAGAATATTTTTAACGTCTTTTATGCAATATAGCAAGTCACAAATTAACTAAAAGATTTATGAATTGATTAGTCTATTAAAGGGTAGCGATCAGACGGGTTAACTTTTTAGTCACACCACATTGAGTGTTTTATGTTTTAATCAACATTGAATGCTTTATGAAAGCTGTGGTTTGTACGAGATAACAAATAAATGTGGGACCAGCAGTTGTAGACAATCCACAACACAACGATTAGGAAAGCTTCCGATTTAATTTTTTCGCTTTGCTCAACTTTCACGCATGTGAAACGATACAACACAAGCTTCAGTAGAAAGAAACGGCAATAGAAATAAGAAGCGTTTAAGAAGGAGGGCTCAGCTCAGGCGGAAACGGGCTTGCGTCGTCGAGATCCGTGCTTCTGAAAGCGCACCCGTAGCAGACGACGAACGGCGGAATCCCCACTTTCACCTGCTTCCAATTTGAGCCGCATGATGGCTACACGGTTCGATCTCAAGTTAATAGTAAAAGGAGTTATTTTATCTTTCAGATTCTTCAGGTGCTTAAATGGACGTGATTTTACATTTTCTACAAAATATTTAAATGCGTTTGCAGGTTATGGACAAACTACCTCAAACGTACATGCTTCAGTCACTTGGAGATTTTACTAATTTAATTTGTGGTTATCAAGTTTTCTACGATTCGACAAAAGGGAAAAAAACTTTCAAAATGTATGATTTTTTTCTTTGGTACATGGACGGTCGTACGTGAGTACTAAATGCATTCATGAAATAAAAACAACTGTGTCATTCGTATGTCACAAACAAATTGGAGTATTAACGTGTTTAATTTGCAGCTTTCATCAAAAGTACTATGTGAAAAATGTGACTGACTACAAAATTTATTTGGGCACCCATCGAAGTAAGCTCAAGTATTTCCTATAAAACTTCATTGTTTTAAATCTTGTCAACAGTCACATAACAAATAACGTCCGTTGTATTTTTTAGCAAGATGCATATTTAGTTATGACTTCACTTCGTTTTACTTATTCACTGAGTTTTTAGGCAATTGCGTAGTTTTTATAGCTATGTCGAAACCGAATTAGGGTAAATCGTTGATATTTAGGAGCGATCATTCAATTTGGAATTTAATCGTTATTTAATCTCCTTTGGTGGTGGTTGCTCCTCCTGTAGTTCTACTTGTCAGAGCACTGGTACTTGTTTCTGGGTTTTTACATAGGACTAATGTTTTGTGTTTTTTTTTTTAAAGGAGTGGGTTCTAGTAATACCATGTATGTTCTGTGAATATAGGCGAGAATTCGATGTCGCGGCTTTCATGTTCCCAGGATAGGTTAAATATTATATGTGCCATCAATAAAATTATAATCTACCATGCAGTCTAAGGTTTTAACCTAACTTCGAAAGCATAGGTGCGCTTCAATATACAAATTAACAGACTGCGGGCACGGTTTCAATAAAAGACAAGTATAATGAACAGTTGAGCTGGTTAAGATTAGGTATGATATTAACCGGAGACGCTGCGTTTGAGACGTAGGTGATTTTTTTTCTTATTGTCCGTCGCCTCCGGGTACAATTAAGTGAAATGCTTAAAATTCCGCAGTAATCAATCACTAAAACAAAAAAAAAATAAAAAATCACACGTTGCTCGCTACTCAGGTTGTGCACAATTTTTTGGTTTTTCTACTATACTTGGATGAGTATATGGGTCTCATCATGTTTCGTCCACTTTTGAACAGAACCATCATTGCCAGCAACGGCTAGACGTGATATATTATTTTCTGACATGGAGTCATGTATGGTAATAAAGAACCCCAAAAATGGTAAAGGTGAGTGCCAAGAACTAACTTGAGCACAACTGGCGTAGGTTGGCTGCTGAAAAGCTTTGCGCCAACTAAACTTTTTTGTTTACTCTGCATTGCTTTATGCAAGCGATTAGTTCGCACGAAAACTATGATCTGCGTGCAACTTTTTAAATACTTAAAAACGACGAATCCCATTTTACTGCTACCAATTAGCACTAAAGTCAGTGCGAAAAATAAAATAGTTTTTTTTCTAAGATTGCCTCCACCTACGCAGCCAAAAACACAAGCATCTCGAATAAACCACGCAAACAGGACGAAATCCAGACATTTGTTATGCGTGCGAAATCATGTAAATTAACAAAAAATGTGATTTTCTGTTGACAACATAACCTCAGGGAAGAAAAAAGAAATGCACTTACACGCAACGGACAACGCACAAAGTGCTCAACCACAGATAAGACTTTATTGAAGTCTAATTTCGTTTAGGAAAAGAGCACCTGAGTCGTCAACGGCAAATTCTTTACAAGGTCATCTTTGCAACACTCTTAATGATATACAGTAAAATCCCTCTCCCCCCGAAACAAACACGAGGTAAATTCACGAAACCCAACAAGTCCCCTTAATAGTACACAAACCTCTCCTCCCCCCCCCCCCCCCCCCCCCCCTCCCAATCTTTGTCGTCACAACACAGCATAAATACAGACATAATAAATACATTTTATACCTCAAAAACTCCTGAGTTGTTCGTTTTAGAGAACGGAGTATATGCTAACACAGGTTTTGCAGACATGATACTAATCAATCCTTTTGCTACATGCTCCAACGGATCTGATACTCCGTTTATAATCATCGTGCAGTTATATTCGGAAAACCAGTTATTGCACTCCGCTAAATACTTAACGATCTCCGAATTAGGCGACTTCGATAAAACCACCCGCTTATGTTCTGCAGTTCTACCGTTCCAGCCGCTGCCGGACTGCCCAATCTGGGGTAAGCCGCGTGCCAAAAGGATGTCACATACTGAACACCGTTCATTATGTGACATCGTGGCGGATCACTGTGCTTTTTTGCACGGCCTTCCAGATCACCAGAGAAAGGCGTCAGTCTATTAAGATACACAATCATTCTTAGTTTTCTTGGTTACTTGGTTCAGTTTAATGCTCTGAACTTCTTTTGTTCGTTGGAACGAATCTTTTATTTAGCTTATAGATCGAGGTGTCAAAAAATGAAGAACTTTTACAGCACCCTGTAACGCAGAATCAGTGCGCAGCTCTTGAGGAGGGGAGGGAAGGTGTTAAGGAGTGGTTATACCCCTTTTCCCTCCTCCTGACCTCCTCATCCTCCCTGCTACTCCTCCCCTCCTCCTTTTTCTTCCTCCTCCTCCTCGCCTCCTCCTCCTTCCCTCATCTTTCAACCTCCTCCCCTCCGCCTCCTTCCTCCTCCTTCCCCTCCGCTCCCCCTTTTCCCCCTCCCCTCCTCCTTCTCCCCTCTCCCTCGTCCTTCTCCTCCTCCTCCTCCCTTCGCATTGCATCATGGGAAATGTCCTGTAATGCACGTCGCGGGACACTCGTGACGTCACTTGTGAAGTCATGTGTGACGTGTTGCATTATGGGACATTTTTATAATGCACCGCGCGGTTACTCCGACGGTGCCGCCGTCAGTTTAGCCATTGACGTGGAAAACGTAGAAAAGAGGAGTCTAAGAGCTGCGCTCTAAAAGCAGACAGTTTTGTGTATCTCATTCTTCTATGCAATTCCTTACCATCTGAAGGCTCTGGTGTCGCGTCCTGATGTAAGAATTATTTTAATGAGAAAGCATTGCCTGGGGGGGTCTCATAAAGCGAGCCGACATCATCAGCTTTGAAACCGCGCCAAACAGTACCTTAAATCCTTTCTACAAGTGAAGCCAGCTCCCAGCTATGAAGATATACGAAAAACATCACCAAACGGCACCTAGTTTCATCGATCTCAAATGAGCGGAGTAAAGCTGATTGATCTCGGCTTCGGTCGCATTGGCTGGCGCGCGTCGACGAGGCTCCCATTAGCCGCTGCGCGTCCGTTTCAGCGACCGCCACCCCGTGGCGCTGCGTGTCCGTCAGCGCGCCGCTAACACGAAACGTTCAAGGTCAGAGCGGCGAGGAGAGTGCGCGCCCTGTCGTCCACGCAAATACGATGCAGGCGAAATAAGGGAGCGGAGGAATGACGTGCATGCTTTCGCATTCACAACTCATCAATGCTTAGGTGTACCTCGAGCCTTATTAAGACTGACTTTCGTCTTAGCAGGCTGACGGTCTTCTCCGGTAATCCGCAATGTTGTGCAACAAGGCACGCATACCCTGTCATTCAGTGCATTGAAGGTGTTATGTGTCACATACATTTGGAATATTATGTGTCGTAAATCAGTCAGGCTTGCCGCTGCATAAACGTTTAAGTTTTCAAAACCAACGAGGGGGGGTTCGTAGGAGTCGCCTAATGAAGAGATTTAAAACATTTGGAAGAGTGTAACAAGGAGTTTCTGGAATGAAACTGCACTATAATTCTGAGGAGATAATCTAATCAGGTTAAACCTGTAGTAACTGTGATTATAGTATTAAAAAAATTCGGTTGTGTGTATGTTTATACAGCCTAGAACTTGGTCTGCCTCACAGGGGCGACGAGTCTCCCAGCTGTAGATAAGAAATTTAGCCAGTGCGGCACAACCGCTAGCCTGGGGTCTTTAACGTGCACCACGCAGTAGTGATACACGACCGCACGCCGGTACGATGCTCATCCAGATCAAAACCGGCAGGGACGGGGCTCGAACCCAGGATCCCTGGGCACTGCAGCGCGAGCTTTCGCTCCACGTGCTCCGAGCTGGTGTGCGCTAGACCACTCGGCCACGGATCTTCCCCGACTATAGTATTAATTCTGCAGGAAACTGTGTTGGTGCTCCTGAATTGTCTCAGACAAGGAAGCCAAATTTGTTCTATAGGACTGTGGGCCTTATGTGTGCCAAATGACTTCTTAGTTTGCCGTTATTTTATTTGCTTTGTTTTGTTTTGTGTTGCATCGGGACGATGCAGTTTTTAAAGGCGGGAGTAATGCCACGTGCTCAGCTGGCCAAGCAGACAGCGCGACCTTGGCCTAACGGTTATAGTGCTTGCCTGCCTCGTGTGAAGCCGGGATTCGATTCCCGGGAGCGCCGCGTCATATTTATTCTTTCAGTTTAATGTTCTGGTACATTCGGGAAATCTGTTGCTTGTTTGAGGTACGAATGTTCTAGTCACCGGACATTCTGGTTCGACTGCTCCAGAAGCCAACGCCTGTGCAAAAGGGGCTCCGGGTGGCGATCTAAAGTTAGTCTCGCCCCAGCGTTCGATCCTGCTGTTACACCGACTTCGACGCCCGCGACGCTCTAATCTTCTGTTTCTTTTTTTTAGGAGGGGGGGCGGTAGGGGAGCACAAGTTCGCCTCAGTAGGGGCCCTGTCACATTGAGGCAACATGAAGGTACAGCAAAATAACACGTTGTTGAACAGTCGGGCAACTTGTTGCTCACTCCCCGTGTTATCCGACAAACCTGTCACATCGCTGCAACAACAGCACAACATGAACTACTAAAATGTTGCCTCGGTATGACAGCTTTCGGCAAACAAAAAAAAAGCAGCAAATTGTGTTGGACAACGTGTAAAGCCCTGATCACTGGCTGAGTAAAATTCGGGTCGGCAACACGACAAAACAGATTGCTTCGATGGCAGATGTAGTTCACTATCAATAACGCCTTACACAAATAAAGGCTTGGAAAACGTTAGTTAGTAATAATTAAGGCTTTCATGCATCTAAAATATTTTTATGAATGCTTTTGCTGTGTAATCTTGGAAAGCGATTGTCGAAATGGTCATAGCTAGGGTCGTGAACGTTTAGACTGGTGTTGAAAATAGTATCTTCAAGAGACCAGCTCAGATTGCTGCTAGTGAAATAAAATGACATGCCTACGCACCCGCTGATAAAGTATAATTAAAATATTCCAGGACAGCAAAGGTTAAAAATGACGCATTAAATGACCACTATGATCATGATAGTTGATGCTTGAAACTTGGAAACAACCGCTACCAGACACCCGATGTGTTTCAAAATTACCCAGGACGTTTTGGGGAATGAAGCGATCACATAACAGGTGGTAGGTAAAGGCGATGAAGTTTTATTCCAGCGATTGTTATGAAGGCCGATTGTGTCGGTGTCGCAGTATTGAAATGCTGTTAGTTCAGCTCACTACCACTCTACAAAAGACACTTTGGGGTACCGCTGGTGCTTAATCATTTTTACAGTAAAAAATTTGAATTGTATAAAACAAAGCACCGGACAGAAAAGTAAATCCTGACCATATATCAGGAATCTACCTTTTTTTGGTTATGGCTATCTGCTTTGTCAGCGAATGGAGAACTTTTTGAAAAATTAAAAGGTAAAAAATACTCTCCGTGTCAACTTCTCTAATCACAGTCACTGGTTGATGCCATCTCGTCGTAAATTCCCACCCTTCGAACGCACTAGCATTGCAGAGTCACATTTCCAGCGACACCGCGCCGCACACAAACGAAGGTAAACAATTACGATGGCGGAACGTTACCCGTGTTGTCCCCGCCGTCAACGCGGTTTAAGAGGGTTGTTGGGCAACAAATCGGACACCACGGTTGCAAGGTGGCAGCAACATGTTGCCTGACTGTCGTTGTTTCCGCGATGTGACAGGGTTGCCGGCAACAGGATTTCTTGTGTTCGACGTTTGCCAAGTTTTCAGGAGTTGCTTTTATGCAGAAAAAAAGAACCTGCATTGGGTCCTGTGTAGCTCCTAATTTGCGTGACATTTTTCTTTCAAAGTGTTACAGGGGCATATTCCACGGTTTGACCTCCTATCCAGTCGCACACACATTTCGATTTGTTGATGACTATCTTGTGCTCACAACAAAAATACCAAGCGCAAACGACATCAACATGATGAAAAGAGTATTCCTAGGTCGGTCCCAAGAATTGAATTTCACCCACGAAGCTCCGCCTAACTACCTCGACTTTCTTGATACGCGACTCACCTTTCAAAATGACAACGTCTGTTGGATGTATTCACCTAGATATAAGAAACGAATACTCTAATGTGAATCTGCACACTCAAAACTAGTCAAAAGAAGCATTGCGTGTAGTTGCTTGAGCGCTGCCCTGAAAAAGTCTCGTATTTATTCAGCAACGTAGAGCTTTGACGCGCCAGTATCAAGGCTCAGGGCGTCAGGTTACCCGACCTCCATCCTGTCTGACGTTGTTGAATGTATGATAAAACCAAACAGAACAGCCAAGAGAAGTAGGGAAAAAAAAAGTCGACCGGCGGTCGTCCCTTATACCTATGGCATCTCTCATAGCGACAAGAAAATTGCACTAAATACGATGTGCCGGCTGTGTTTTCAGTCCAAGACAAGCTATAAAAGCTGTGCCCCAAAGTCAACAGCCCGCGCACAAAGCTTGATAAATGTGGTGTTAGGCACATCAACAAATACGTCCACGGTTATAGCGAAGCCGTGTATGTCATCCAGCTCACCTGTGGAAAAATTTATATAGGACAGTCGGGAAGATGCATCAACGTAAGGCTCAGAGAACATGCACAATCTGTAAAATCCTCTCCATTGAGGCATCTCGCTCAACATGTAAGGGACTCTGGATGCGCCGTGCTACTGCCCAGCACAAGGATTCTGAGGAGGTGTCGTAATAAGTGAACTGACGAGATTTTTGACGCTGAAGCCCCTGCGACCAAAGGAGACGCCTGCAGCAGTGGTCCATCGTTTTTGTTTTTTTTTTGCTATACTTCTTTCACTGTTACTTTAATCATGCCCACCAATTCCTTTTGTTTCGAATAATTTTCTTTTTTTCCCTTCTTTAATTTTGAGTCTTTCCAGATCCTTTCGCTCCTTCCTCGTAAATATTTGTAACTTTTAACGTTAGGGTCTTTAATATCTTCGTCTTCCTCATCTTCCGCATTAAAACGTCAGTTACATGTAAGCGATTGTCCTGTGTAGTCTCCCTCTTGTCCGGGTCTATCACGTTTTTTTTTTATTTTCGTAATGTTTAACCAACTAGGCAAACTAATAATTTTGCTACACGAGAGGCACCTCGCTCAAGGCCGACATCACCCCTAGACCGGAGACAACGGAGCAAGTCTGCCTGTCGGTTGATCAACGCATTCATTCTCGTTCAGTAGAAACGTGAAATGTTCTGATAAAATCATATATCCAGTTTCTGTTTTAACGATCACCTATAAACCTTTGTGCGAAACGATGGCGATAAGCATAGATACATTGGCGGGCAAAATTGGTATCGTGTCCACGGTCCAGCGTGCGGCATCCGCTGCTCGGGCTGTTCCATGAGCACTAAGTCGCGGAGAAATTGTTTAACAGTTAAAATAGCCCTTCGAAGAAGAAGAAAGCGTTTTCGCATTCCGGATAATCTTGTAGACCACTGTACATGAATACTTTATAAGACGGATAATTCCCCACGTATAACACAACATGACTTTTTGTTATAAAGTCCCACGTGCAAAATGTTAGTCGTCTTGCTCAGATGCATGCTGAAAACTTTGTCGGCAAAGAAGCGATGGGTCTGTCGTTTAAAAACTGTCATGTAAACAGTTTCTTTCTTAAAACAATAATATATCTTTATTAATCAAAATATTATCAACCTATATTGATTCAACCAAATCTGTACTACACATGACGAAAACAGATCTAACCACAAAAGGCGGAGTGAAAAATAAGCACCAAAGGGGGAAAGCGCAACTAAAGGTTTATAAACCAGCAAAAAATGCAAGTACTTCAGGCACGAGCTAACAGAAAATAAATAAATAATAAATAAGGGCTCTGGAGCAATATTGGCGTTTTGTTATGCAAGTACTTAGGATATCATGGGGGAGGGGCAGAATACCCCCCCCCCCCCCCCGCCCCGCAAGATATCCCTCAAGCTTTGGCGTTTGGGTAATAGGGTTTTCATAAATACACCAGTGTTTTGCTGTTATTTTTTGTGCTCTTAAAACCTGAGTGTTGGCGGGGAAAGCCAGTTTGATGTTTTGTTTTACCCAGAATACTAATAAGACAAAAAAAAAGCGCAAAAAGATCGTTCACAAATATTAAGCCTCCTTTTTTTCTGATTTTTTACAGTCTGTAACCTGATGGTGACAAAAGATACATTTTCTACACCGCCTCGAAAGTGCCTCCGAAAATTCCGAAAGCACTGCGGATCACAGGTGTTCAACTACACCATCGATAATTGCCCTTTCCCAGAACCAAAAAAATAAAAACCCTATGAAGAGTTTGCAAGTGTCCGGTCCCACCTTGTTTCACCCTCACTTAACATTTTTAAATACCCACAATTTTCAGAGTCATCCCAGGCAGCAAGCAAATAAGAAGTAAGGGCGCAAACGAGCTTTTGTACATTGCACATGGTTGAAAAAACCCGAGACTTTTTAGTGTTGCGTCGTTTACCCTCAGTCTCGGGGTTTTTTCAAGCATGAGCACATAAGACTATGTTGGCACAAATTTGGCATTCTTGGGGGCCTTACTTAGGCATGGTAAGGTTTTGCTCCAAGAAATATTCATATTTTTGTGCCAAGGAACTTTTTGAGCTTTTTCTGGTTCATTACACTATTGTCAAAGTGCCAGAAATAAGCCGAGAATGTTAGGTATCGTTCAAACAACCCCCAGCGAAGCCTATTCTGACACTTGTTTTACACATTAGGTTCAAAGTTGAAAATGAGAAAAGAAATAAAGAAATAAAACCGAATATTTGCATTTCTTCAGAAGGTGAGACAAAGGATTTAGGTGACTGCCGTAGAACCTCAACCTGACTTTGAAGACCAAATCTGGCGATTGTTTGACAAACTAGGGCCGAATTAGAAATGCTTGGAACGAGATTATCACGCTAAGTTGCTTCTTAAAATTGCATTGCTTTCTTAAAATGGATAACAAGTGCTTCCAACGGTAGATAACAAATGGGCAAAGCGCCCACTTGTTATCTACCGTTCATGACAACTCAGCGAAAGTTCCAGAAAATTGACATTCCCCGACGCATCAATGACTGCGTTATTGTGTTACTTAGGATAGGTCCTAATCGTGCAAGTGAAAGTAAACTATGAAGCATTGTGGGCAGTTTTGATCGCAACCGTATGAAACTGTTATTTTGCGACAAAGGAGGGAGTATGCTTTGTGGCAGGTCAGAACATCTACCTAGAAGAGGCGGAGGTAGCCTTGGAAAAAAAAAAAAAAACTTTAATCGCCTGCCTGACTTTACATCGAAACTTGCTGAGACCAAGGCTCTACACATGTGCCACAGGCTGGATTTGAACCAACTACAGAAACAAATCGTTGCATCTAAAGGGAACCAATTGAATTTTTTTTCACTGCCAAAAGACAAACAAGAAAGTATGTCCTTTTCGCGTAATTGTGACTGAGAAGGGATCTGGGTAGGGGGAAATGCCGCGGTACCTTCTGCGTCATTTGACTGTCCTCCAACTTGATGACCCCTTCTTGATATCCAGCTCAGAAGTAATGATTCGGTGTCTGAAAGATGACTCAACCTAAACACAATATGGGTTCTGTCTAGATGCTGAAGGCTCATTTAATTCAATACCACAGAGAAGCTTGTTTGACATCGTCAGCGAAAGCGCCAACTATAATTGAGCCCTAGGTTTTCAGAACACCTGTTGCATACCGGCCGCGTCTTTACTAGAGCTTTCGAAGTTTTATTTGTGCTCGACGGTTGGCACGTTTTCAGGAGAAACTTAGAGAAAAAAGTAATCTGCATTGCGTCATACGTATCTCCCATTTCGTGTAACATTTTTCTTTCAAAGTGTGACAGGGGCATATTTCAGGGTTTGACCTCCTATCCAGTCTCACGCCTATTCAGATACGTTGACGACTATCTTGTGATCATTACAAGAATACCTGACGCAAATGGCATCAACATCATCAAAACCCTATTTCTAGGTCAGGCCCAAAGATTGAACTTCACCCACGAAACTCCGACTAACTACATCCTCCTATTTCTTGATAGGCGACTCACCTTTCGAAATTACTACGTCTGTTGGACGTATTCGCCTAGATCCAAGAAACGAATACTCTAATATGAGTCTGCACACTCAAGACTAGTCAAAGGAGGCATTTTGTCTAGTTGTTTGAGCGCTGCCCTGAAGAAGCATTGCATTCATTCAACAAGGTTTGACGCGCAAGTATCAATGCTCAATGCGTCAGGCTACCCCAGCTCCCTCCTGTCTGACGTTGTTGAATGTATCATAAAAACAAGCAGAACAAGCAAGATAACTAGAAAGTAGAGTAGAGCAGCTGCGGATCACTTGTGTCCAACTATACCACCAACAATTGCCCTTACCCAGAAAAAAACAAATAACAGCCCGATGAAGATTTTGAAAGTGTCAAAACCACCTTGTTTCAATCTCGCTGAATAGTTTTGAAGCCCTCCCTACAATTTTTGGACTGATCCGAGACAGCACGCAAATAAAACTAAGTTGGCACAGGTTTGGCATTATTGGATGCTTTACTTAGGCATGGTAAGGTTTTGCTTAAGAAATATTATTATTTTTGTGCAAGGCACTTTTTGCGCTTTTTGTTTTGTTCATCACACTATTGTCAAAGTGCCAGAAATAACCCGAGAATGCTAGCTATGGTGCAAACACCCCCAGCGAAACATATTCCGGCGCTTGCTTGACAGTTTAGGTCCGAAGTTGAAAAGTGGAAATAAAAAAAAAAAAAACAAAAAAAAAAACAGGAATTAAACGGAATACTTGCATTTCATCGGGAAGTGAGACCCAAAGGTGTGAGGCGAGTGCCGTAGAACCCCAACCTGACTGTGAAGGCCAACTCTGGCGATTGTTTGAAACTCTAGCACCGAAATGCCTACACTTGGAACGAGAATATCACGCTAAGTTATGGCTTTGCTTTCTTATTTAGTTTGTCCAAAGTTGAAAATATTTGTCCTAAGAACTGTGTTAAATGGTACGCGCTTGTACTTGATTGCGGTAGAAACTATATATATATATATATATGTTGTAGTCATATTTTATTGTTTCGTTTGCACTTTTTCGATTCCCAAATATGTCTAGGGCTCACACAAAGTCCTCTTCAAAATCAACGCCTCGGGGAAAGTCGGAGCTTTTGTTGATTCGGGTTCCAGTTTTAGAGTACTAAAATCTTTAGCAATCTGAACCCACTATTCGTTTATGAGCGTAGGGCTTTGCAAAATTCATGACGCTTAAATGTAACGACAGTCTTCACACGCATGCCAAGACAACATGAAGTATACATAGTACACAATAGGCATTACATTAAAATATATACACATCTGAGCTAGTCATACTTAAAATAATTCTTAAAGTAATACCTGGTGATACCTACCAAGCTAATTAGCGGGAATGAAATCCAAGTCAAGGCGATTCGCAACCCGACGCCTTTGCTGGTTCACCACAAGGTAGAGGTGAGCGGTAGGGCAAGCGGCTGGACCAAGTATTACCCATCAAACCATACCTCAGTAGGCGATTGTGGGCGCACTCAGGTGACTTCCAAATAACGAGGCGTAGCTCCTCACCTGATCTCACGTCATTCATAACAATGACCACGCAAGCGTGATTGCGTCGTCTATTTGAATCCCGTAAGCACAGATATAAATGATCATTATATTTTATAACAATAATCCTGAAGTCAGAAACTGTGTTGCTTGCATGTTTGCAGAACATTCCACTGAATAGACTTTCTGCATTTATTTGAAAATTTATGGTAAAATCGGAGCCAAATGTACGATAATCAACACGCATAAGATGTATATATTTTGTTTTTATTTCAGTATGCATACAATGACTATTTTTACTGTAGATCAGTTAGGGTATAAAATTGAAATCGTAGCTGCTATGGGTTACACCAAATCATCGAATCAAAGTAAATGGAAAGCAATATTTGCATACAATAGAGCATGAAGGTCATCAGTAAGAGATGCAAGCAGCGCATAAAATATAGCATGAAGGTCATCACTAAGAGATGCAGGCAGCGCTCTAGATAAAAATGATTTTGAAAACCACTCTAAACAAAAAAAAAAGTTTGGTAGGAGAAAATTAACTAAATTGGACGAAATAGTACCTTTTATTTTACATGGAAGATTGGTTGAAGAGATCGGTGAAAGTTTAAAAACTGCGTTTATCACATCGGTATTTAGGTTTTATATCGAAACTACTCTACTGCGAAGGCACAAAGATGCAGCACTTAGGCGTGCCAAGGAAGCTCTGATCACGCCGCGAGACCGGGGAAACTTGCTTTTCATTCATTTATTCAATGCTTTATTTTCAAACTTGCTTTCAGAATACACAAAAACTGTTTGGACCCATAGCCATTCAGGCTAGTCCGGGGTCCAATCGTAATATAGGTTCAGAAAGCGGCAGAATACAATAGACTCATACAATGCTCAAAAAAACAAAAGAAATCACGTTCTAGAAAGTAATTAGCTTAACTGCATTTCATAATCACGAAAGAATCTTTTTAAGGAGGGCAGAAAGTTGTTTTCCAACTTTATAATAATAGGTATTTCATTCCAAACTAGAGCACCACAAAATTCTATCAGCCTTTGTCCTTATGCATTATGGCATGGCGGTAAATTAAACATATAATTCGCTGCAGCCCTTGTTTGTCTCCTGGGAGATTGAAATAAACTCAAAGAAAGGGGTTCATTAGACTCTATGATTTTACGAACTGTTTGAGCTATTTTTAATTTGTAAATACAACTGAATGTCAACACGTTTAGCGATTGGAAAGGAGGTCTACTAGGGTTAGTGTTCCTTGAAAATGTTATAAATCGTATCGCCCGTTTTTGCAAGCGAGTTACCGGATCTAAGTATGTAGCGTAAGTATTACCCCAGGATTCAATACAATAGACCAGCTGACTGTGGACGAATGCAAAATAGAGTATGCGCTAAATAAATAAATCAAAACATTCGCGTGCCTTTAATAATGTATAACAACCATATGCAACTTTCGAACACATGTGCTTAATTTGGCTTTTCCAGTGCATATCCGAATCAAACAGAACACCTAAATATTTATAACAAGTAAAGTGTTGTAATTCCGTATTATCTAATTTTATAACTATCTCGTCGTAATTAATCACCCTTTTCCTGGAATAAAACACTGTATACTTAGATTTATTTAGGTTGATTGTAAGTTGATTGCTTGTGAACCATGACAGAACCCTAATCAATTCCTCATTGAGTTTGTGCCTTTACATACGGCCTCACGCACATTG